GTGAAGAGGTGCTAAGCAGAAGCACATAAAAGAATGGTCAAAAGATTCAAACCTGATTTCACAACAAATAGGTGAGTTCATGCATATGTTTTACCCCAGTTAATGAATTCAGCCTTTCTGAGAGCTACAATAGAGTTTGGGAAACCTTACTACCAGCCCACCTCAGAACCATTAAACTGAGTTTTAGATCTGTACCCTCATTAGGACTTTACAGGAAGAGATGCATAGTTACTATCAAGGAGGCACAAGCAAAAATCTATGAATAGAGTCAAGAAGATCCAGCTTTTATCATCCTATGTAAAAAACAATGTAACACAGGTTTACATCTATGCTAGCCTAATAGATGAAGAACATGCTCAAGGCTTGTTAGCAAACTTATTTTGCTAACCTCTAAAATCTCTGCCTAGGAGGCCTTCTACAAGACAGTAGCTGGATGCAGTTAACATCTGCCCAAGATAAGTATTTTTATTGAGATACTATCTCTAGCCTTGACTCAACCACAAGCCCCAAGTCAGGAGATTTCTATGTTAGAGTTTGTTTCTCTTAGCTTTTGTCTAGAAAAGCACACCCTACAAGGCAGCAGAGGATACTAGGTTACAAGGATACTAGGATACAAGGCAGCAGAGGATACTAGATACAAGGCAGCAGAGGTACTAGGTTACATGAAACCAGGATGATTGTGATGATCCTGAACCAGACCTGACCTGAAATAATTAAAAGGAACTACTTCCTGCGAACGGTATCTTAAAACATTAGGCATGAGATTTTGAAAATGCATTAGGAAAAATATTACATCCAACACATGCTAGAGATTAAGGTGAGTGTATGTTTATAATTAGAGTAACAAGTTAGTTAATGAGGTCACAGTGCATCAAAATAGATTTAAACACAATATTTAAGGGTTTAACAGAACACAAACAAAAATAAAGTAGTTTATAGGTGAGTAAACACCGCGCCAGAGGTTCAGGCAAATCACAAACATGCATATCAACATAAAGAGACAGAACACAAACATGCATAAAAAGAACTTACGTATGAATGAACGCTGCACCAGAGGTTCAAATAGAACATAAAAACATATAAAGTAGATTACAGGTGGACTAAAACAGTAATTGAGGCACCTCCAACTACAAAAGACACAAAAATAAATTAAATATTTATATATATATATATATATATATATATATATATATATATATATATATATATATATATATATATATATATATATATATATATATATATATAAGCATATTTTACTATAGGCATGAACAATATTAAATAGTACTGATGGCAGGAAGCAAACTCTTTCCAGCCTTTAACTTAAAAAGTGAACCCCACAAGATAGCAGGACATGGAACAGGTTGCACTGGGTTACATATTACCAGTAGCAGAGTGATCATGAAGACCTGACATAACTAAAAAATATGCAAAAATATGTCCATTTGAATTAACTAAAATAATAAAATTTAACTTCTAATTTATTTTCTATCTTTTCATAAACTTATAGAGCAAAAAATCTTTTCTGATAAATAAGAATCATATAAAATTTTCATTTCATTAAATGAAATTCAACTTTTTATTTTTGTCATTTAAAATATTGATTGAAAAATTGTAATGCATTAAAAATAAAACATAGTATGGCAGCTTATTGTTATTATTACCTTCACATCTAAACAGAAAAATACAAGCTGCAACTTCACAAAAACTTCGAAATTATTTAAACAAATTTTATTTAAAACACTGTATAAGTAAATGTATAACTTCATCACATTAAGATAAAAGAATGAGTCATTTTAGAAACACCATAAGACATTTTTAGACAAAAAGAGTCAAGCATAGTACCGTGTTCCCTAAGGGTAGAAACATGTTTCTTTGAGAAATCAAAATCAAACTTTTCAGTCAACATCTTATAAAGTGTTGACTAAATGGTCTGTGACATTTAAACACCCTCATATAACTATATAACTAAATGGTATGAGACATTTATGCACCCTAATATAACAGGATTCTGTGCTTCATAATTTTTTTTCAAAAAAATAGTTTATGGTGTTTCTGAAATGACCCGTTCAAAGACAAAATGTAAAACTAAAGATTAAGATAAACTAGAATGTAAAACTTATATTATGTGATAATATGTGGCACTAAAATTAAAATCTAAAATATTGTTATTTAATTTAAACATTTTTTAAAAAAAATTTGTTGAATTAGAAATTAAAAAAAAAAAAGAAAATGTAAATTTTTTAAAAAGTTTTTAAAAATAAATTTACAAAATCTAACCTGATTATTACTACCTGCAATAACAATGTACTAAATAATTAGATTCATATAAAACATGGTTGGATATGTAACAAACAAAAACAAAACAAAATCAATAAAAAATGAAAAACTTTTAAAACAGATAATCCTTTTTTTAACTTTAAAAACAGATTAAAAAATTACAAAAAAACACACTATTTATAAATAAAAGTATATTCAATAGTTATTTGTAAACAAAAGTATATTCAATAGTTATTTATAAATAAAAGTATATTCAATAGTTTTTTTATTTTTAAATAAAATACATTAAATAAAATGTTTTATTTTAGATATAAAACTAGGGTTTTCAACTAAGCTCTTAATAAAGACATACTTTTAAAAACTTATTTTTAAAAACCTTTGTGTTTTTAAAATTGTTAAGGTCGGCACGTGGCAAGTTCAAATCATTAGCTTGCTTTTTTTTAAATTTGTATTATTAGTTCTATAGATTTTATATTCTATATGTATTTGTTTATATCTATATATCTATACCTATATCTATATATATATATATATATATATATATATATATATATATATATATATATATATATATATATATATATATATATATATATATATATATATATATATATATATATATAATATATATATATATATATATATATATATATATATATATATATATATATATATATATATATATATATATATATATATAGAGGTATATAACTTTTTTTTTTTTGGTAATTCACCTTTGAAGGCGGAAAAGACCACTACAGACAAGGCAGCTACTTAATTTTAAACTATAAAATAAAGAAAATTTCTAACTGTATTACATAAAGCTATAAAAATTTCAATTATATTGTAAATAAATTAAACCTTAACACCAAATAGAAGAAAATACTGACTTTACCCTTAAATCCTTTTGAAACGATGAAAACAAAAACATGTTTTTAACATAAAATTTAATGTTAAAAGATATATAATAACTAAATTGATTTACTGATGTTAATAAAACCAAAAACATTACAACATTACTTGAATGAATTGTTATTTAAAATTGAACTTTATAATAAGTCATAAATTCAATCTTATTTAATATAATATAAAATTACTTAAAAATCTTTTTGAAATGTTTCCAGTAGACAAAATTATTCTTACTTTAATTGTGAAGATTTTTCTTAACTGTTGGTTAGCAGTTTATGAAGTAAATTTTAAATCATGAAAATTTATATAATATAAACTTTGTTACAAAAGTAGGAAAATCAAAGTTAAATTATGAAAAAGCAGAGTTATATAAAGTTAAAAAACAAAAAAATATATACTTTAATTAAAAAAGAATAAAATATTTTAAATAAAAAAATATATTCTTTTGTGCAAATAAATTGATTAAAATTAAATGACAAATATTTGTTTTTATCAAATATTTTTTTGGTTTGATTGCCAATTTAATCAATTAAAAAATTAACTGAAAACTTGACAACTTAAATTAGCAAAACAAAATACTTACAATTTATTTTAGCAAATTAAAATTTAGCAAAATAAAAACAACTTACAAAATACAACCTTGCTCTTAAATACTTATAATAAAAAGCAAACATTGAAAATAATTTTTTATATCGAGTGTCTATTTTAACATTAAGCTGATGATACTTTAGTGTAAAGTATATGGTCCGAAGTATATTTCTCTCAATAGATACATAAAAAAAAAACATGTTCAAAATATAGAAAAACTCAACAGTTATATAAAAACAACACTCTTATATATCAACTCGCTTCAATATCACAATATTAGCAACAATAATCAAGCAGATTGTTAAATATAACAAAAGACCAATAATTTTCTTTTTAAAAAATAAAAAAACTTTTTAATTCTGTTTTGTAAATATTTATTTACAAAAGTTTATTTTTTAGTTTTTGTAACTTTAATTTTTCACAATAGGAGTCTGGGAATAATGGAGCCAATCATTAGAAAAGCAATAATGAGATCATTTTCCCCCCAAACTTAAGTGCTTTGGAATTTTCTCTTTGCAATAATTTCCTGATCTGTATACTTTAAATATTTTAATTTAATGTATACTTTATGTGTTTAAGTATTTTTGAAATTAAAATAAAAAATAGGTATAAAATTAAAATTATGAAAACCAGACAACAAACTCCCCAAGTAATTTTTAAGATAATTATAAAATTGAAAGTTATTTACACATTTTATTGTTTATACTGACATTTAAATATGTTTTATTTTAAAAGTTTGTTACAAAAACTTGTTTAAAACAACAATGAAACAATATTGCATGGTTGTTTCATAATAAATCAGAAAAAAAATACTTCAACAAAATTGCCTGTTTTTTATTTAATAAAGTTTACAGGTATAAGAAATGATTTATGTATTTTATTACTTGCTTGAATTTATTTTTTTTTTAGTTAATGTTTAATCTTTGTTTAGCAACACAGCTGCTTAAGTTTCATACATTAATTATTATCCTAAAGTTGTCTGGTTAATATATTTTGATTTTAGGCCTCTCTTGAAAAATTCTAAGATAAAATTTTAAAAAAATTTAGTTTAAAATAGGCTTTCTAAAAGAATAAACTTCAAGACTTAGAACATGCATAAGTAACCTTAAGCAGTTATAAACTTTTTGATATAATTCAAGTAAAACTTTTCCTTTTAATTCAAATCAAACTATTAATTAAATTTTATTTTATTATTTTTATTTCACTTGTATATTTTGCTTTAGATTTAAAGGCAAACTGTGGCAATTATAATAGTTTTACCAATTTATCTGGAAAAATTCGTTTTCCATCAATTAGAGAACAGTATTCAAATTTTGTTGAATGCAAATGGGTGATTGATGTTGCTCCTAACATACTTAGAGTTGAAATCAATGATCTAGATATGGAATTTGAAAGTTTCTGTAACTTTGATTATGTTGCTTTTTTTGATGACCCTACATACCATAATGAAATTAGTCGATATTGTTCAAACAAATACATTGTTTTGTTTGGCAAATCTGGTATACTGTATATTAAAGTAGTGACTGATGGTAGTATTTTTCAATCTGGTTTTACTCTAACTTGGAACATCACAACAATAGAAAATTCGCAAGTTCCTGGTATGTAATTTTGTTTAACAAATTCAATTATTATTCTAATATCAAATCAGTATTTAGTTTTGTTACTTTTTTGTTTTTTAGGTTTAAAAATTCAAGAACTTAAGTTTTTTCACTAATTGATTAAATAAAAAAATAAAATTTGTAAAATTTAATAAAACTTTATAAAATATAAAGCACATTTAGAGGGTGGCAGCAGACATATTTTTAAAAAGTTATTTTAAGGGACACCCTAGTCAAGTACTTGTCTATGCGTGTTTATTTGCATGCATACATATGTATTTGTGTGTGTGTATATATATATATATATATATATATATATATATATATATATATATATATATATATATATATATATATATATATATATATATATATATATATATATATATATATATATATATGTATATATATATATATATATATATATATATATATATATATATATATATATATATATATATATTTATATATATATATATATATATATATATATATATATATTTGAAAGATGACATCTTGTATGATAGTATATTATATATTATTTTAAAACATCAAGAAATACAGTTTCTCTCAATACTAATAATTTTATTTTGTAAAAAATTTTCGCTGGGTTATGGATACCAGCATCATCAGCTAAAATATTTTTAATCGTTATAGTTTATATAAAATTGTTACTATTGACGTCAAAAGTTGCATGGTTTCTTTTGATATTTAAATTTTAAATAATAAATCTAATAATTTTTTAATCGTTATAGTTTATATAAAATTGTTACTATTGACGTCAAAAGTTGCATGGCTTCTTTTGATATTTAAATTTTAAAATTGGCGTCCAAAACATAGTTTTTACATATTGGCCTTCATTAAGATTAAATCCGCCGTTTCGTGCAGAGCACATGTTGTTTTGTATTTCTAGTGCCTCTTTAATTTTTCTTTCATACTTTTTATTTTCTACTTTTAATGTTCTTGTTTTTTCCCAAATAATATTTTCTTTGCAAAAGGTTTTATGAAATGCTAATGCAGATTGATTAGGTTTGTTTTCATTGATGCTCTTCTGATGTTGATGTATTCGCGTATTTACCTGCATCGTTAAATCAAAAGAACGATTAATAAAAAAGTTTAACATACTTCAAAGTGAACATGCAAATGAAAAAGATATTGCGAGAAACACAATAAAATATAAAAAGCACGCAGTTTTAAACCTTTGCGATACCGATATTTCCATAAGTCACAATGATTTTCTAAACTTTGATCCAAATTTTGTACCATCTTTAAAGTCGATACTATACATGGATATTATAACAACAACAGAGTCTTCTGCGTTAAAATTAGAATACAACAACAAAGTAGAAAACGCACAAGATTTAAGGAAAAATGTTTTAAGAATATTAAAAACAGAGAAAAAAATAAATAACAATCTGACAAAAGAACAGAGGATATCTTTTAGAGAAATAAAAAACGATAAAACCATTGCTATATACCCGTTTGACAAAGGAATAGGTTTTGTAAGAATTGAACATTCTAAAGCTTTGGAAAAAATCCGTGAACAAATTGGTCCGACAAAAATTATTAGTGAAGACCCTACTGCCAGTTACGCAGCAAAAATTATATTTCTTTCAAAACTAAATAAAAAACAGTGTTTTTCTAAAGAGGAATACGAAAAAATATATCCAAGTGATCCTATCCCACCTCAATTTTATGGAGTAATAAAACTCATAAACCAGAAAAGTCGTACCCTATGAGAATAATTATTTCTACCATTGGCACACCAAGCCACGGAATATCAGAGTTCTTAGTTAAAACAATACAGCCAGTCTTAAATGAAAATCCGACACAATTAAAAAACTCTTTTGAATTTATAAAAAAAAGCAGAAAATTGGAATGTCGCTAACAATGATATTCAAGTGTCTTATGATGTTGTAAATCTGTACCCGTCAATTCTGTTAAAAGAAGCCATCGTTATACTTTTAGAATAATTAAATAACAGTTTATCATATAATAACTAAACAAAACTAAGTATACCTGAAATTAAACAACTCATAGAACTTTGTTTACGTCAATGCTATTTTTATTAGAACAATGAGATTCACATAATGGAAAACTCAGGACCAATCGGACTTTCTTTCATGGTTAGCAGAGTCTTTTCTACAATTCCATGAAAATAATGCAATTAAAATAGCTTTGACAATGAATCCTGCACTTAATCTAAAATCATTTTTAAGATACGTTGACGACATTTATGCAAGATTTTCTAACATCGAACAAGCAAAACAGTTCCAAGATATTTTAAATCAACAACATCCTGCAATACAATACACAATTGAAGTTGAAAACGAAACAAACTAAACACTTAACTTTCTTGATATAACCATTACAAATAACACACTAGGAAAATATGAGTACAAAGCATATTGAAAAGAGGCAATCACTAATATTCAAATTAAACCGCATTCAAATCACGATCAAAATATTTTAACAGCTATATTTAAAGGTTTTCTCCACAGAGCTTACTCCATCTGTAGTAAGCATCATTTGCAAAATGAAATAAATTTTTTAACTGACATGTTTGTTGAAAATGGGTACGATGAAAAGCTATTGAGGAATATTACACACAGGAATATTATATATATGTATATATATATATATATATATATGTATATATATATATATATATATATATATATATATATATATATATATATATATATATATATATATATATATATATATATATATGTATGTATGTATATATATATATATGTATGTATGTATATATATATATATATATATTTTTTTAATTATCTTCGCTTCCATCAAGGTTGTAAGCAACCACTAATTAGTGTTAAAAGTTACTGGAAGAGAAAAGATGAAGATTGTAGAGCAAGATAACGATTGACAGACGACTTAAAATATTGCAAATTATATGAATCAGAAAAGCAAGATGAAGGAAGCGAATTCCAAAGAACTGATGCTCGAGGAAAAAAACTAGACGAATAAGAGTTTTTGGAGCACTTAGGAACAGTAACAGAAAAAGGATGAGACTTAATTGAATTACGACTAATACAAGAATGAATTTTAGTAGATGGCACAAGAGACGCTAGCTCTTTAGAACAGTGCCCATTATAGTATTTGTAGAAAAAAGAAAGAGAAGCAACATTACGACGATGTGACAGAGGTTAAAGGTTGGCTGCAAGAGCAGGTCCAACTATGTTTACAATGCGTTTTTGCACCTTGTCTAAAAGAGAAAGGGCATTATTAGAAGATCTGCCCCAGATATGGCAACAGTATTCCATACAAGGCCGGATTTGAGATTTATAGAGATAGAGAATAGAATCCAGAGTAAGAAAGTGACGAGCTTGATAAAGAGAAGCAACTTTAGCAGATGCTAATTTTGCAACGGATTTGAAATAAGGTTTCCAAGAAAGATCAGAAGTAAGAGTTAATCCTAGAAGATGAAGGGTAGGAAACTCATCAAGTACATTACTGTTCATAAATATAGGAAGGTCTAAATTATTGTGATAAGGATTGGCCGAAAAAAATTGAGTTTTATCTGAATTAAAGTTCACCAGCCACTGCGAGCCCCATGCTATAGCAGAAGTGAGATCCTTTTCGAGCTCAAATATCCCCTGCAAGCAATCAGAGGGAGTTGGCTTCTTATCGTGACAAGAATAAATTGTAGTATCATCAGCGAACAATGCCACCTTAGATGTGAGAATATCTGAAAGATTGTTAATGTAAATTAAAAAGAGTATAGGACCAAGGATTGAACCTTGGGGAACTCCTGAGGTTACAGAATAAAAAAAAGAGTGCTGTCCATCAAGGACAACTTTTATACTACGATTGGAAAGGAAGGATTCAATAATCTTAAAGATGTTTCCAGATACACCATAAGAAGAAAGCTTATGGAGGAGACCAGCATGCTAAGCTTTATCAAACGCTTTAGAAATGTCAAGAGTAATGGCCTTAACCTCTCCACCTTTATCTAATGCGCGATAAAACCTATCGGTTATTACTGATAGCAAATCAGTTGTAGAACGAGAAGATCGAAATCCATATTGATGATCAGAAAGTAGGTTATGAGATTCGAGATGAGAGATTAAGTGTTTGTTAACTAAAGATTCAAAAACCTTGCTTATGATAGGAAGAAGACTAATGGGACGGTAGTTAGATGAGTCAGATCGCTCTCCAGAATTTTTAAAAATAAGGATACCAGATGCTGCTTTCCAGCAGGCTGGAAAACAAGACTCTGATAAGCACTTTTTTAATAGTTTTGAAAAGATAGACGACAGCTCAGGAGAACACTTCTGCAAGACTATAACAGGTATGTTGTTCGGGCCGCAAGCTGTAGAAGAGTCCAAGCGGGAAATCACTTTAGATACAGAAGGTGGAGTGATACCAATGTCGAGCAATGGATCAATTTGTTTGACGGGTATATCAGGTAAAACACAACTAGTGGCATCAAGAGATGATATTGATGAAAAGTTCTTGGCAAACAATTCAGCTTTGTCTTAAGGTGAGGTGACAAAATCTGAACCGTACAAAAGAGGTGGAATTACAGACTTGCCCTTATTATTGATACTATTAAAGATTCTCCAGAAGTCATGAGAGCCTAATTTTGTGATGAAATACGAGATTTCATGATCTGAGAATAGCAGGTTTTGGCATTAGGCAAAACCTTTTTACAATGGTTTCTAGCAGTAATAAAGAGACGTCTGTTTTCTGGAGAATTGTTTTGCTGATAGATATGGAAGTAATGGTTTCGATTGGCAATTGCAGCAGCACAATGTGAGGAAAACCATGGGGAAGAGTGAGGCTTGACCTAGAATTGTCGAGAGGGAATAAAGGATTCCATGCCAGCCTGAATTCACGAAGTTATATAAGAAGCATTTTTGTCAACGGGGAGACGAAAAATTTCTACCCAGGGGCCTTCATGAAGAAAGTCACGAAAAGAGTCCCAGTCAGCTTTAAGGTAGTTGTAATATTTACGATGATAGGGGGATTCTAATGGTAAAGAAGAATGAGATAATAGTTTTAGAGAGACCAAACCATGATCAGACGCACCTAAGGGTGAGTGTGAAGAAACTGAACACTGACTAGGATCAGAAACAAGACATAAGTCGAGTAGAGAAGGTAAATGATTCGGGTTGTCTGGAAAGCGAGTTGGAAAGTTGACTATTTGAGTTAGGGATTGAGAAAGACAAAAGTTGTGGGCCTTAATGCCTGCAGAGTCACTGACACTAGAGCCAAGCCATTCAGTGTGATGAACATTAAAGTCACCGACAATAACAATATTGGCTGATGGATAAAGAATGAGGGCTTGGTCAATATAATCAGAAATAACATCACTAAGAGTGCAGTCTTGGGATGAAGGAGAGCGATGTAAAACAAAGAGAAAGGTGATAGAGTGAAGTGGTGCTAAACGAAAGCTCATAAAAGAGTAGTCTGTGGATTCAAACCTAGTTTCCCAACAATTGGGTGAATTCTTACAAATGTAAATGTCCAGGCCAAGCATGTGACTATTGGAGTCTTTAGGAATTAAAGGAAGATAACCATCAACACTAAGATCACAAGATGAGACAGCTGAACTCAAATTAGTCTCACAAAGAGCAAGCGAGTTTGGTGAACTTTGCAAGAGATAAGACTCAACTGAAGAAAAGTTATTTCGAAGACCACGAATATTGGTGAATGATAGGTTTAGCGAACTTGGTGATGACTGTGGTTTTTTGTGTTTTATAGTTTTTGTTACTTCATTCATTTTTAAATTTGTTAAAGAATTTGACTCGAAACATAGATAGTACTCAGTACACTGTTCTATAGCTCAAGCAATTGCCTCATTTCCACTAATAAACCCTAAGCTTTAATAGAGGTCTCCAATGTGGCCTTGGCAATGCACACCAAAAGTACAAACAGGGACACCATCCATGCGCAACATGGCATTGTTAGTACTCTGATATTTTTCAGAGTACTAAACCCTAAATTACACAGAGTTCGGGAAACCTGACTACCAGCCGCCCTCAGAACCATAAAACTGAGTTTTAGAGCTGTACCCTCATTTGTAGATAATAGAATGAGTTGCCTAGTCATAAAAGCAGAGACACAAGCAAATCCCATGAATCGAGTCAAGAAGATCCAGCGTTCAACATCCTAAACTGGAAACAATGTATTAAAAATACATCTGCGCCAGCCTAATAGATGACGAAGGGGTGCGAGGCTGGTCAACAGATCTGTTTACTTCTTAATATATATGTATGTATATATATAAATATATATATATATATATATATATATATATATATATATATATATATATATATATATATATATATATATATATATATATATATATATATATGTATATATATATATATATGTATGTATGTATCTATGTATGTATCTATGTATATATATATATATATATATATATATATATATATATATATATATATATGCATGCATGGAATGGTCTTGCACAATTATACCCTCTGGTATTTTTATATTAGTTCGAGTTGAATATGAATTTTTAAGATGCTGAATAAATTTAATTTAATTTGATTGTTTTTTGTTTGTTTTTTTCAAAATTCAGCAATATATTATGATTTTGTTTATTATAAAAAAAAATAATCAGATTAAAAAGTCTTGCCACTAAATTCAAAGTTTAATGTAAAGTAATGAATACTTAAAGTATCATGATCAAATGAATGTGTACCAAATAATGTGTTACCAAAATAATGACAGGAGCAACTTGTTTAAATATTAAGTAAGAAGCACATGAAGTCAAGTAGAATTCAAAGACATACAGATTGGTATGTATCATTTCTTGCTTTTCTCATTAGGTATAATCATAGGCCAGAGGGGTATACATATTACTCTTAACACAATGCAAAGTGTCAGTCTTATATCAAAAACCCAAGATGTAGTCATTCCTTAGAGATTCTATGATGGATTAAACAACTGTGCATAGACATCTGGTCAACGACTCAAAAGAAAACCAAAAGCATAACTTTAAAAGTATCCTTTTGAGTGATGCCACTGTAGTAGTTTAAAATATGGATGATTTGGAATATATGATCTATAGTGTAATACTATGGTGTACAATGAGTGGTCTATACAATGTTATAGATAATACTATAGTGCAGCAAAATTGACTATAAATAAATTTAAATGGAAAATAATAAAAATAAACAGAATTGCATGATCATATATAATAGTTTAATAGTTAGTTAATAATAGTAATAATAAGTTAAATAATATTAAAACAAATATGGTTAATAAATGTAAAGAAATTAAATAAATATAAAAAATATATGTGTATCTGATAGTAGTTGTGAGAAAAATAGTTGTTGCTTCTTGTTTCAAACATTAAAATCTTTTTAAAATGTAGATAATTTCATTGATTCGGCTGAACTTGGTAACTTGCTCATTAGGTTTTAAAAAATATAATGAATATAATGCTGGAGTAATTTTATAAAAACTATGCCTTATTACTTAACCCTTTGGTGCAGAAGGCGCACATATGTGTGTCTATAATATATCAATCATTATATCTCTCTCAAAGTTATTGTTCAATCCTATTTAGTGCCATTTATTAACCTTTTGTGCTCATAGACATATAAATGACAAAAATAAATGTAATTGTTAAATTTTTCTTATTGCAGATGGCTTAGAGAAGAAGAATTATAAATGATCCAAATAAATTTCTTCAAATATTTGATGAATTAGATAATGTAAGTGATTTGTCATGTGAATCTTCGTAGTCTGATGACAACAAATTCCAAGAGAACTACTGATGACTTCTACTGATGATTCAACAAAAAAAAACAGATGTGGACTTTGCTATTATTAACTAATGATAACTAAGGACTTTATACAATTACCTTTGCTGATAATAATGTGACTATAAATAAAGAAAAAAAATCACGTAAACAACCAACAATTTTAACCATGAAATCAACCTTTATCAAGATAAATAAAAAACTTCATACCATTAAGACTAAGATGTCTATTAGTGAAGATAAGAAGTATATTAGTAAAGACAACAGAGAATGAAAAATAATTAAAATTATTAGGACTATTATTCCATTTATGGCAACACCATAACCAATGTTTAAAAAATCAATACCTAATTGTGATGGCAATATCAAACCAATCCATTTATTTGGTTTGTTTTTTCATAATACAAAATGTTTTTTCAGTTAATAGAAAAACTTCTCACTGGAACAAATCACAATTATTCATGAAGGTTGCAATCCTCTCCTATTAAGCAGAGAATGATATGGGTTGATATTATGTCAAATGTTATCAAATTATTTATAGCAACCTGTTTAGCAATGGGAATAACAAAACTTCCTCGCATCTATGACTACTGGAGACAAAAACAATGTTTTTTTTTAATCTCATCTTTTAGTAAAGTAATGTAAAGTATTATAATTGTGGAAGAAAATCAAGTAAATGGTACGGAAGAATCTTTTACTTCCCATTGGATATATGTGTTCATAATGCTTTTGTATTTGAGTCTTTGTTTAATGACCATCATACTTGCAGTCATCTAAGACTTTATGAAAACTTATTGAACAATTAGTAGGAAATACAAGATCTAAAAATAGTGGAAGACCTAGTAATTCAAATGAAGACATAACATTACAATATGCAAATGTTAGAGTTCATAAACCTTTGATGAAAGATGAGCCTAGAGATTGCTAAAATTATTCTGAAAAGATTTAAAAAGCTATTTTAGTTGGCCAGTCCCAGCGCCATTCAAAAAATGTTCATAGATCACATGTTTTTTGCTTTCCGATTTCTAACTTTTCAAGGCATAAATGGAAATTTTTCAATTTCCATTTGTGTTTTGATTCAGTATCCAATTGCTGGAACATATAGTGTTTATTTTATTTCAAGAATGTGACATTCGTTATATTTCAAATATTTTATGCACATATTCACTTGCGTTGAATAAATATAATAAATGACTTGAAAATATTTTCTTTCTTTTAAATAAAGTATAAATTTAATATTTCCTGCCTGTCTAAACAAGAAAGGTAGTATATCAAAATAGTTAGTTTTCTTTTGAGGTATTTTTTACATCTTTACTGAATAACAAAATTTAGGTTTAAAAAAAAAAATTGGCGTCATCAGAGAAAAATGTTAATAATTTATTTTCTAGTTATCTAAATTAGGAAAGTAAGCCTTTATTTACTTCTAAAACAATATAGATAGCTATTTAAAAGGCTTAATGAGCAAATATTTTAAATTGGCAAAACTTGTCAATAAATATAAATGCAGGCACCATCAGTTTATTTTTTTTACTTTTTTATTTTATTTTTTTGATTCCAAATTTTGTCTGCTTTCCAATAATATATACTAGAGAATTTGTTTTGTAAGGAAACTAATATATTTAAGTGTTAACGTGACATAATATTGCGGGGTTAAGACATTTTAACTTTACAAATTACAGCTGGGAAATAAATGCTTAAGTTTAGAAAATATATCAAAATGATATGAAAATGTGCTATTTAAAATCAAAATAAATATAATGCTGGGGTAATACTAATTTCACTTGTGCCAAGCTGCCTAAGTAAAATTCGGAAAAATTTAAAAACAGTGTAAAGATAGTAATATAAATAAAGATGTGTTGAACAGATGTTCAGGTTAAAATATAAGCATATAAAATTTAACTCAGGTTAAAATTTTTAAATTTTAATTTACTTAATTTAATGTTTATTTAATCATTATTTAATATAAAATGTTTAATAATAGTAGTAATGAAAAGTCTTTAGGGAAATCTTCTCTATGTAAAAAATTTAATTAATGTAATGCTTGAGTACTATCAAAATGTTTATGTGATAATTTTTTTAGTTCCTCCAGAAATTAAAAAAGAAACTTACTTTTCTGAAAATATTTTAAGTACTATCTACTCAAATCTAACATTTAAATGTGAAGCTAGTGGTACACCAGCTCCTTTTGTTTATTGGGATTATCGTAAGAAATTATTATCGTCAGAAAACTGTATATTCACTGAAGAAGGATTCAATTCATCTATTTTAAAAATTATTAATTGTCAACAATTTTTAAGTACAATGTTTTCATGTCATGCAACAAGTGTCTCTGGAAAAGATAAAAAAGTGATGAACATTACTTTGTCAGGTATGTGTTGTTAAAAATATGCAAATTTGTTATGGATTCAAAAATTTAACATGGTTTTAGCACTGAAACTTAATTAAAAAGAATTCAATAAATAAAATTAACTTTTTTATAATCAGTTTTGATTGATTTTTGCTTTAATCTTTAATCATTTTTTAAAAACTTTTTAAATGACATTTGTAAACATTTTTCACTTTTGCTGCTTCTTTGGGAGTATATAAAGATTAGAACATTTTCCTATATCAACAGATTATCTTATGCTTATTTTAGAGAACAAAGAATCTTTAATGCAATGACTTGACTTTTTAAATCTTATTGTTATAATTCAAATGAAACTTTCTGTTTTAATTCAAATCAAAATGTTACATAAATTATTTTATACATAGTTATATGCTTTTATATTGCTTTAGTTTTAGAGGCAAACTGTGGCAAATATACTAATTTTACTGATTTATCTGGAAAAATTCGCTTTCCATCAATTGGAGAACATTATTCAAATAATGTTGAATGCAAATGGATGATTGATAATGCTCCTAACATACTTAGAGTTGAAATGCATGATGTAGATATGGAATATAAAGACACCTGTGTAAATGACTATGTTGCTTTTTTTAAAGATCCTAAATACCAAACAGAAATCAGTAGATATTGTTCAAATAAGTACATTGTTTTGTTTGGCGATTCAGGTATACTGTATATTAAAGTAGTGACCAATTATAATGTTAATCGATCTGGTTTTACTCTAACTTGGAACAGCACAACAATAGAAAATTCACAAGTTCTTGGTATGTAACTTTATTTAGCAAGTTTGCTTATTACTCTAATATCAAACTTATCAAATTTAGTTTGTTTTATTTTGCTTATGTATTTCTATCAATTATTAAAAATAAAAATTTTAAAATCTATAAAAATTTAATAAAAAAATGCTATATTGATTAAACTATAAAATAAAATTAATAGAGGTGGAGATCTAATTATTAACTATTTTACAAAATGTCATCTTTGAACTTTGATATATAAACAAATATATAATTGCTTGTTGCTTTTACAGATGTTCCAGCAGCATCAATTATTGCAATCCTGCTAGCTATTCACCTACCACCTGATAATAATCTTGTAGCAAGGCTTCCTAATATTTATGACTGCATGCTGCCTTTTCTTGTTCTTTACTTATCTGAGTTTTTCTATGATTCATTTGAATGTGAGTTTTTTAGAATTGACCTTACACCTACCACTTACTACTTTGACTAATTTTTTTAATCTTTGTCATCAGCTCATCATTTGTTATTTTTTTAAAATTATTTGAGTACCTTTTTAGCATTTTTTTTTTTTAAGTTTTTTTTTTTTGTGTGTGTTCTTTTTTTGCTTTCTTTCACTTATCTTTTCTTCTTATTTGTGGATAACACAAAAGTGCATGTGACATTTTGAGAGCTTCTCTAAGTCAACTCGTCATTTTCTCTAAGTAAAAGCTTTGACTTTAAGTAGTTAAAATACTTGTACTAAAACTCTTTTTTAGGTAGGTATAAAGAATTTGACACACTCTAAAATAAAAAAGTAACTCATTTTGCAACCTTCTAGAAATAAGTGACAAAAGGGGAAAAAGTAATGCTTTTAAATTTTTTAGGCTTATGAACCTTCTCCCCATAGTAAAGAATTTTTATAAAAAAAACTCCAGCAATATCATAAACAAGGGATGACAATTAGAAAAAAGTTTTTTTAGTATTTGAAAAATACCAATCCATTAATAAAGAAAATTGTGCCATGATGTTTATTAACAAATTTTAATTTAAGATCCTTAATGGGTTTGCTCATCACCTATAATTAAAATTTTTTAGTTAATCTTTTAAAACCCATAATGTACATGAAAATGTATAAAGGTCTAAGGGTATAGGGGTGTAAAGGATTAATGGTATCAATATTAGTTTATGGGTTTGATGTTTGGTACACTTGATGTTGCAATTAAAAATCCTCTATCCAATAATTTTTCTAAGGGTGTAAGGGTCTAAGGGTGGTCTAGGGGTGTAAAGGATTAAAGATATCAATATTAGTTTAGGGCTTTGATGTATGGTACACTTCATGTTGCAATTAAAACCCCTCTATTTAATGTTTCCTTTTTAAAAACCTTAAATATCCTAATACAAATTTCTCTTTAAAGGGAAAGAATGACATGGAATTATTTTTTAACTTTAATTTAGTTTATAAAAGTAACAATTTTTTAACTAATTTACTCTCTCAAGGTTACTAGCAACCATTTTTTAAATTGCTAGTTACCAGAAAACAATGATTTTTGTTAAAAAATCAAGCAAACGGCGTGTTTGTTGTGTAGGTTGATTTATATGTGCAGGTTTTTTTTTAAGACTGAAACATATAGTTATACTGGAGTATATAGGCTTTGTCAGCAAGTCCCCTTTTTAATTATAAATTTTTTAGGAAGACTATTAATATAGATGAGAGGCGTTATGTGACTATAGATACAATTTTCTGAAGTTACTGGAAATAAAGAAGAGTGTTAACCTTTAAGGGCAACTTTAATACTGGAAGGAATTATTTAATAATATCAAAAAATTTTCAGATACACCATATAAAGCAAGCTTATGGAGAAGACCAATATTGGTCTTCTCTATAATTCTCCATAAAAAAATATTATTTTGCTTACAATAGAGTCTAATTGAGTTAGAGAGGTCATAGTATTTTTCCAAAATTGAACCCACATATTCCTTTTTTTTTTATAGATTTCAACAGGGAGTAAAGCAAGATTTTTTTCCAAGATATTCACTTCAAACAAGGCTGCAAGCAACCACTATTAGAGTTAGAAGGGAAAAGATGAAAATTATAGAGGAAGAAAACAATTAACAGACAACTTAAAAGATTGCAAATTATATGAATAAGGATTACAAGATGAAGGAAGTGAACTGATGTTCGAGAAAAAAAACTAGACAAATAAGAATTTGCTAGTGTCCAAGTAGTGTTCAAAAAAAATTGAATTTAAAATCTTTTTTCCTATAAGAAAGAAAGTTGTCTCTTTAATTTGTGTTAAACGTGCAGACTTAACTTATTAATTAAGCACATTAACAGCATACGTATCCCTATCATGACTTATGTGTAACAAATTTCTCCCAATATTTTGATGTTTTTAGAAACTTTAAGTTTTTTTAAAAATTCACTTTGATTGAACAAAACAATATATCAAAATAAATTAAAAAACTTTGAATGCAAGTTTCAAATTAAACAAAATGCTAACAAAATAAGATATTAGATTTAATTAAACACATATTCATATTCTACACCAACTCAATTGTTAAAGTATCATTTCTTCAAACTTTTCTCCAATGCATAAAACCAATTTTAAACCAGCAAAGAAATATGATATGTCAGCTTTTGGAAATGTTCAAAGAACAGCAACTCAAGCAAGAAATAAAAGAAATCTAAGTTATGATTCACGAGTAAAAAAAATTTTCACCCTACGAAACTATTATTTATAACATAATATGGAGTGCCAGTCTTATATCAAAAACCCAAGATGCCTTGGCATGACTCTGGTCTATGACTCAAAATGAAAACTAGTAGCATGATCAGAAACAATATTCTATACTGTGGCATCTGTAGTAGTGTGTAATATGAATGATATATTGTATAGTATATGATCTATGTAAGTAATACTTTGATGTAATATTAATAATCTGTAGATATAATAGATAATTCTATGGTACAGCTGGGATCATCATAATAAAATAGCATTATAAAAATGGGTAGAGATAAAAATAATGACAGCATTGCATAACAAATAAAATAGTTTTAAACATGGAATTATTTGCATTAAATTGAATGAGCATGAATTTATTTGCATTAAATTGAATTAAATTCATGTGAAGCAAGGAAAAAATTAAGAAGTTTGAAATGGTAATATGATAAAGATATGTTGAACAGATGTTCAGAAAAAAATAAAAGCATTACAGTAAAACCTGTAATAAAAATAATAATAATATATAAGCAATGTGCATGTAATAGAAACGCTAATCTCATTCTTTCTATGGTAAGCTATAACACATGTGCTAAAAGCAAATGAGCTAAAACCTAATTGCTAAGGACATTTTGAATGTAAAATTAAAATATACATACACGCTAAAATTTAAAATATATAGATATAAAAATGTGTGTTTCAAAAAAACATATTAAGTATAATACTAAATTAATACTAAAAGTAAAGACTATAAAAATGTGGGTAATAATTTTTTTAATTTTTTTAGTTTTTCCAAAAATCAAAAATGAATTTTATTTTTCTGAAATATCATATCATGCAACCTACTCAAATGTAACATATATTTGTGAAGCTAGTGGTACACCACCTCTTTTTGTTTATTGGGATTACAGTGGAAGTTTATCAGAAAACTGTATATTCATTGAAAAAGGATTCAATTTATCTATTTTAAAAATTATTAATTGCCAAGAACCTGTTGAGAAAAACTTTACATGTCATGCAAAATGTTTCTTTGGAGAAGATAAAAAAGATATAAATATTAACTTGTCAGGTATGAGTTTTTTATAAGCTTCTGTGTGCATTTGTTCTTGATTCAAAGTATTTGACTTGTTTGGTAATTGAGAATTATAAGAGTTCTTAAAAATTATAAGAATTCTTGCGGTACTGCCAGGGGGCTAGTATCATGGAAAATTCTCTTTTTTTTCATTACCATTTTCAGAAAGAAATTCACTAGCATAATTATAGGAACAATTTATTTTTATGTCATTAAAATATTTAATATCTGAGTTTACATGTAATCCTATTTATTTATTACTTAAGTCAAAATAAGTGATTTGTAATTATCCATTTTAAAATTTGTTATTATTATTTGCCAAATAAGATTTGAAAGAATTGTTAGACACCTGAGGGGTAACTATATGCATATTTATATGCATATAATATATATGCATATTTATATGCATATAATATATATGCATATTTACATGCATACAATATATATGCATATTTATATGCATATAATATGTATGCATATTTGTTTAATATTGTATTAAAGGTGGACATCAAAAATCTAGTTGTTTTACCATGGGTACAAAAATTGAGTTTTGTAAAGTTGGCATTAAAACAGTCTTCCGTTTTGGTAATTCCTTACTAAATATACTGTCATAATATGTTAAAACTACCTCTAAGTCACCCAACTTGGATGCACTTGAAGTTAATGTTACATTGGTGAAACAAGAAAAAAGGTTTCCACACAAACCCAAGAACATAAAAAGAATGTTACTAAAGCCAACTGGGATGCATCTGAAGTTGTTGAGCATAAACAACATTGTGATGAAAATATAAAATGAGAAAATCTTTTTAAAAAAAAAAGGGTTTCAGTTGTTTCAAACAACTATACAAAAAAATCTGCACTAGAAAAGTACAATATTTGCAATGCCAAAAATCTAATCAAAGTATTTTACTTTGTGATAATTGATGGTATATTAATTCAAATGGTAATTTGACGATGACTCTTCATGGGAAAACAATTTTTTTTTAATGTTAAAGTTTTAAAAATATTTCGTTGCAATAACATCATTTTTGTTATGTTGACAATAATTTTTTTTAAATAGTTTTTTAATTTAGTTTGAAGATGGCTCTTTCCACATGAGCCATATTAACACTACTAATAATTTATAATATAATACCAATCATGATGATTATATATACATATATGTATATATATACATATATGTATATATGTATATATATATATATATATATATATATATATATATATATATATATATATATATATATATATATATATATATATATATATATATATATAAATATATATATAAATTAGTAGAAAATCACTTAACAAAAATTTTTCATTTAACACTGTGTATCATCAATAAAGACTCATCCGAAATCATTTCTGATGAGTCTTTATTGATGAAACACAGTGTTAAATGAAAAGTTTTGTTTAGTGATTTTCTACTAAATTATTATTGCTCTGTTTATTTAAGAACATTGAGCTCTTTATTTTGTAGAATACATTTTAAAATCGTTTATATATAAATATATAAATATATATATATATATATATATATATATATATATATATATATATATATATATATATATATATATATATATATATATATATATATATATATGTATATTTATTATACATATATATATATATATATATGTATATTTATTATACATCTATATATATATATATATATATATATATATGTATATTTATTATACATATATATACATCTATATATATATATATATATATATATATATATATATATATATATATATATATATATATATATATATATATATATATATATATATATATATATGTGTATATTTATTATACATATATATATATATATATATATATATATATATATATATATATATATATATATATATATGTATATTTATTATACATATATATATATATATGTATATTTATTATACATATATATATATATATATATATATATATATATATATATATATATATATATATATATATATATATATATATATATATATATATATATATATATATATATATATTTAAAAAAGAAATAAACTCAATCCAACAAGTTATTGACCGATTTCATTAACATCAATAGCATGCAAAATAATGGAAAAAAAAAATTGACAAATTAATGCTTTATTTGATAAAAAATAACTTAATTATTTTTCAGCAACACATTTGTAAACAATAAAAGTTGTAAAACAAATTTATTTAAAATGCTTGACTTGAATAACAAATTAGGGGTTGTTCATAAATTACGTCACGCTTTTAGGGGGGGGGAGGGTCATAGATTTTGTGACAAGCTGTGACATGGGGAGAAGGGGTTGGAAAAATTTGTGACGTCATGGATGATTTGATCAAGTTCTATAATTTTGTATAACTTTAAAATTAGCTTAAATATGCAAATATATTAAATATACAAACGTATTATCAATGCAGTGGCATTGCTTAAGTTGATGATTTACAACTTTTTTAACTTTTTTAACTTTTTTTTTTTTTATAAATAAATTTAAAAGTAAAGAAGAAAATGAAAAAGTAATAAATAAATAAACAGATAATTAGTAACCCTATAAAGTAAAAAAAAAAAAAATTTAATTGAAAAGCAAAACAAAAAATAAGGAAAAAAAAATGTATATTGTTCCTTAACTTTTTCTTATTATTTTTATTCAAAAGTTTATTAAAAAGTAAATTCGAAAAAAAAAAAAAAAATTTTAAGAAGAGAATAAAAGCCTTGTTATGAGATTTTGTTGTGTAATGGAAAAACACAACGTGAATAAATGTAGCTTTATTAAATAAAGATATTTACATCTTTAAAAGTTTAATTGTGTCAGTTTTTAAATTCCTCATGGTAATTAAATTCAAAAACACATTAGAAATTATTGTAAGTCTTTTAATTGAAATATTTTTAAATTAAAGAATATTGTTATAAAAAAAGTTATAAATTGAATTTAAATGTTGTTAAAAAAAAATTTCCTTATTTTAAAATTTTATACTTATTTAAACTTATTTTTTTTCTTTAAAGCATTCTTTTTATGGTTATTTTTTTAGATGAGAGGACACTTGGTTATTGTTGATTTTCTTGAAGGGATTTAAGTGCACTTACTACACAATTAGATTGGTTTTTCCCAATCTAATTGTTTAGTAAGTGCACTTACTACACAATTTTTGCGATAAAAAATTATTGCTATAAAAACTTTTGCGCTAACTGGCTTTTGATAAAATAAAAATTGTAATTAAACAAAGATTGCCGCTTTTCGGCTAATTTTGTTTTTATGTACTGTAAAACCTAATGAATTTTTACTATTTCTTACTAAATCCAAAAAGAAAAATAGTATTTTCAGTTTTAAGATGTTATTAGAAGAACTTGTTTTTAACAAATATCAGGATAATTTTGAAATTTATGTATCTTATATTTATGGCAAAAGTATTAGTTTTGTTTTTAAAATAAAATAAATATAAGTTGGGCTTTTAAAGAGTTTTTTTATTGATTGCGTTATTTTTAATCGGTTTAAAGTTTGTTTATTTTATAAAAGTAATTCTTCTACATAAAATTTAAGGGCAAAGGGAAAACCCAAACATAACATTTAAACTAGGGTTAGGATTATTGTTATTGTTGTTGTAAAAATTAAATACAATAAAAATTACAACACAATTATCTTGTATTGTAATACCAGAGATGTAATTAAAACAGTATTTATGGTTATCGAATTGTTGTGAATAAAAACAGTTACAATAACTATTGTATTTTTTTTTATCGAACAATACATTAAAGCTCTAAAACTCTTGTATTGTATTGCTGTGATGTAAAACAATTACAATAACTATTGTATTGTATTGCTGTGATGTAAAACAATTACAATAACTATTGTATTGTATTGCTGTGATGCAAAACAATTACAATAACTATTGTGTTGTATTGCTGTGATGTAAAACAATTACAATAACTGTTGTATTGTATTGCTGTGATGTAAAACAATTACAATAACTATTGTATTGTATTGCTGTGATGTAAAACAATTACAATAACTATTGTATTGTATTGCTGTGATGTAAAACAATTACAATAATTATTGTATTGTATTGCTGTGACGCAAAACAACCACAATAACTATCGTATTGTATTGCTGTGATGTAAAACAATTACAATAACTATTGTATTGTATTGCTGTGATGTAAAACAATTACAATAACTATTGTATTGTATTGCTGTGATGTAAAACAATTACAATAACTATTGTATCGTATTGCTGCGACGTAAAACAATTACAATAACTATTGTATTGTATTGCTGTGATGTAAAACAATTACAATAACTATCGTATTGTATTGCTGTGATGTAAAACAATTACAATAACTATTGTATTGTATTGCTGTGATGTAAAACAATTACAATAACTATTGTATTGTAATGCTGTGATGTAAAACAATTACAATAACTATTGTATTGTATTGCTGTGATGTAAAACAATTACAATAACTATTGTATTGTATTGCTGTGATGTAAAACAATTACAAAAACTATTGTATTTTATTGCTGTGATGTAAAACAACTACAATAACTATCGTATTGTATTGCTGTGGTGTAAAACAATTACAATAACTATTGTATTGTATTGCTGTGATGTAAAACAATTACAAAAACTATTGTATTGTATTGCTGTGATGTAAAACAATTACAATAACTATTGTATTTTATTGCTGTGATGTAAAACAATTACAATAACTATTGTATTGTATTGCTGTGATGTAAAACAATTACAATAACTATTGTATTGTATTGCTGTGATGTAAAACAATTACAATAACTATTGTATTGTATTGCTGTGATGTAAAACAATTACAACAACCATTGCATCGCATTGCCGCGACGCAAAACAATTACAATAACTATTGTATTGTATTGCTGTGATGTAAAACAATTACAATAACTATTGTATTGTAATGCTGTGATGTAAAACAATTACAATAACTATTGTATTGTATTGCTGTGATGTAAAACA